AACGGCGAATGAGTGGTCGGCGACAGCCGCGTGCGGCAAATCGATTACCCAAAATCATTCCTAACGCTCGTCTCCCGATTTCAAGGCTCCTCGGTGGATGCTGTGGCACACACAAGTCACGGCGCTGTCTTCTGGTGGAGGTATCTCAGCGTGCGAGGGTATTCAGGCTGTCAATAAGGAGCTCCTACCATCCGCGGCCTTGTATAGATTTTAATCTACGTGGTCGATTGCTTCGCGAAGATGCCGAACCAGAAGTTAGAGCCTAACTACTCAAAAACGTTGCCTAACTATAAAGGTTGATATTTAGCATGTATTTATATAGGAAGACGCGTGAGTCACTCAGTACGTGTGCGTCTGTCTGTACGACCCTCTTTCTTCAATTTTTACTTTTCACCTTGAAGCTCCTTGTGAGCTTCCCAAACTGATCCAAAGATGTTCAATGCAACGTCGATGAAGTTGTTTTGTCAATAGTTTTAAAGGCTCAGTAATATTGAAAGTGCAGAAGCTGAAGATGGTGTTGCAGGCGTGAACGCAACATTCGACGATGACGAAGGTTGGCCATGGCCATATATGCCCGACAAAATCACCAACGTACATTTCGTCGACTGCTTTAATTTCGAAGTAGGAGAATTCCCCATTGACTCACTGAAGAGTTTTTTCTGCAGTTTTTTCTGCTTATGATGATTCAAGAGAATTGAAAGAATCTCTCCTAGTTCAGTTTAGTTGCTTTATTTTTTATTCACATAATTTTCAGCAAAACTGTGAGCATCATCCAATCTTCATCGATGAGGAAAGAGAAGCACATCTGGTAGATTTGTGGCGATTCTGGGAGAACAAGTGAGTACCACTTTCTAAGTAGTAATGCTCGAAAAGTCAGGAGAGGGCTGAAGTTGTATAACCGAAGTCATGGCCGATGAGGACTACTGGAAGCATATTCACTCCTCCCGGCACGTTCTTTTTGGTACATATAATTTGAAGAATCTAGCTAAATCACCAGGAAATTTGGAGAATGAGTTTGAGCCTGGGCTGAATGCTTGAAACCACTCTCTTTTTCACCACAACTACTCTTTTTGTATTGGTTTTCCACTGCATTTTCCTTTTAGGACCATCAGGATTGATTTCTCCACTTTCACCAAGGCATACGTACTTTCGATGTACTGGTCGGCGTTGACGATGACTACGCTGGGTGAACAGGTGAGGAAGACTACTCGAAATAATTGTGCGACCCATACCTATTTGCAAGTAACCAGAAAACCTTTTTCATTGATGGACCTCAAAAACCTCATCATTTCCAGCCAGCACCAAACGAAACAATGCAAACGGTATTCGAAATNTCCACTGCATTTTCCTTTTAGGACCATCAGGATTGATTTCTCCACCTTCACGAAGGCTTACGTACTTTCGATGTACTGGTCGGCGTTGACGATGACTACGCTGGGTGAACAGGTGAGGAAGACTACGCGAAATAACTGAGCGACCCATACCTATGCATTGCAAGTAACCAGAAAACCTTTTTCATTGATGGACCTCAAAAACCTCATCATTTCCAGCCAGCACCAAACGAAACAATGCAAACGGTATTCGAAATTCTGGATACGGTCATTGGAATGGTACTTTTCGCTGGGATCATGGGAAGTGTTGGTGATTTGGTAGCGAAAGCGAATAAAGTAAAAGCGGATTGGCAGCAAAGAATGGATGGACTGAAGCAGTTTATGACATACAGGTAGAGATCGAAGTACGGCTCGAACTCTAGTCATCCAGGGCGATCCCTCAATCAACTTATTGATATTTCTATTCTTGCGCCGTATCAGGACTTTTCCAGTTTCAATAATAGCTATGAGAGAGATAGCAAACCAAAGCAGCCTCAATAAAAACTTGGGAACAATCTTAATCGATCCCGATTTCTTCGGCTAGCTTGTTCATCTGACTTCATGCTCAGACGAAAGCCTAGAAGAAATTGATTAAAGAGAAGAGATGTCCAGAAATCATCCGGCAGACGTTTTTCAAAATAGATAGTGCTTAATAGTGCAAATTATTAATAATCGTCGATGAGTTTGTTTGCAGAAATCTGCATGCCGAGTTCCAGCGTCGTGTTTTAAAGTACTGTGAGCACGAAATGGCTAAGCAGGAGAAAATGACTGAATTGGAAATGCGCGAATGTCTCCCAACAAAACTTTATACTCGGGTATGCCACATTCCACTTTTCGGGCAATCCGTTCTACATATATAACAATCCAAAGGAATGGATTTTGAAAACCCCACAATTTAGATCAACAAGTACATGCAATGGTCAGCCCTTGCCCATTCCCAGCTCTTCGAAGTAAGCGNAGGGTTGCGAGTTAGCATTTCTCAAAGACCTCGTTGCTCGTCTTGAACCAATGGATTACGGACCTGGCGATGTCATTAGCGCAAGAGGAGAACTGAATAAGGTAGCGACTGATTTATCTGTAACTTCATCTTCTAAAACGCTTGCGTCGAATTGAAAGATGAATTGAAAAGAGTTCTATGCAAGTAAACTCCGCTCGGATGCGCCACGCATACTGCTTCTTTGCGTCATCACCTAGCTAGATGAACTTACAAGCGCTACGAACTCGAACGTACTTTGGTTTTTTGTATCTATTGAAGGCTCTCAATACCAGTTTTCTTCCTTTACTAATGTGAAAGACCGGGTTCCCTCGAACTAAACTAACTAGTCGTTTTCCACTTTGCCAAGAATATTCACTGGCACTAAGTTTAATTGCTATTTCGAAACTTCTTTGGACGGTCAACGACGGCTCACAGTGGTTATATCGCAGCACATCTCGATCGTAATCGTAATATAATAGCTACTAGCAGTGGGTAATTCCGTGAAATCTGGCGATTTTCTAGTCTTTGTTAAAGCTTAGCCCCTCCTGCCAGGTTCGCTACTATTACTTAGAGAAGAGGGCTAGAGGGAGAGGGTCCGAAGTGCTGGTGGTTCTCTCAATAATGTCAATTACTAGTTATGCCTTATACGTACTAATACACTCTGTTGTTCTATGAAATGAAGTTGTTTTTCAGGCGATGTATATCGTGGCTTCAGGAAATCTGAAAATCACCGATCATAACTGTGTCACATTGAAGACCTACAGTGAAGGTGACATTGTGGAAGATCGGTCCCTTGTTTGGTTACCAAACAATCGTTTTTTGAACAGAAGAAAGCACAACGTAGTATCTGTTGGGTATTCACAGGTTGGTAGGCACCTATCATGCTCAATTGGAGGCAATACATTTTTTTTTTCAGGTATACATTCTATTTCGTGACGACCTTCTGCAAGTGTTGGAAGACTACCCCGACTGCCGGCAGAAAATACGAATTCACGGTGAGAACATTTGATGGAATAACACTGTAGACATAATTATTACTCAATATAGCCATAAGGAAGAGGTCTTGACCGTACGTCCCTGTTCCAATGCACATCGGTGTACCAATCGACCGGCATGTTACCGGCTTGGAGCATTGGCAAAATTGTGCAGTGTGGCAAGTTGAGCGCGAAGCCACTCGGCTATCGGGCCTCTAACGGTTTATCACGTTGTTGAAAAATAAAATTTCCAACACTCAAAATTCTTAAAAAAATGAGTTGTCAGAAGCTGATAAAGAAATTGCATTCCCTTCAGAAAAGTGGATCAGTAATCCACTAATGTACATAGCTATTTTAAAAGGCGTAGGCCCTGAAGTTCCTGCTAGAAACTTGAAAATTTCGATTTCTTAAGGGGTTGAGGAACTCTGGTATAGGGCACGTCATGTATACGATTTCCATTCAGAATAGAAGTACAGTATTCAGTCTGTACGCTCACGTTTATTAAACAGTGTTTAGCTTATCATGGCAATGGGACGACGGAGCCTCTCTACCTGCATTCCAGCTATTTTCTTGATAGTCCTCAGCCTCTCATTTAATTTGAGCTCGAGATAATAGTCTATGATGACGATAGGCTTGTGCCTTGCAAGGTATCAGAGAGATGCTCATGAACCATCTAACGCTCCAGAGGACTTCAAGAGGGTTGAGTGTTGTGCTAATCCTGACTCCAAACGGCATGTATTACAGCCTCCTGTAGGAAACGATGAACCACATTGCCAAGCCATCGACACTATTTAATAATTTCACCAAAATCTTCGCAAGACGCAAGATTATCATCATTTCTGTGGATATTATCCTTCCTGCGACGGGTTCTCTTCATGATGACGACTTTATCAGTGACGTACAACAAACCTTTTGTTGGCCATTAGCGTTGCAAATACAACTCTGTCATTACTATTATTAGCAACTGATCTTGTTATATCTGCACATTCACGACAACAAGTGATGGCTGATTGAGGAGCAAGTGATGAGGGAGAAGTTAACATTATATTAAAGGCATTATATCAAAGGCAGTCTTTGCAAAAGCTCACTTGATGGAAATTATATCAGATCCTTTTCGCTGAATTTCTCATGGTCTCATACATTTCCTATAAACCCTACCAGCCCCTTATTCTATGTGGGTGAACCTTCGAAATTGAGATCGAGTTGTTTTCATGAATTTTCCGTCAAAAATGGGCAGCAAGTGTGTGATGAGCATACTCACTATTGTTAGGGATATGTGCAACTCTGTACAAACTTTGAATCAAAGAAAAGTGAAAAACTCCGTCTGAGAGCTTTACTTTTCAAGTACATCTGTGTTTCAGCGGAATGGCTGCAGTCCGAGGCAGACGAATTGACCGAGAACGAAATTGTGGCGGATGTGGACGAGCTTGAAGGGTCGACACTTGAAGAAAGACTTATAGCCATGCGGGGTATTCTATGCGTTTTGGAAAGTAACGTAAACGAGAACTACGAAAAATTCAAGGTACAGTGTTGCACTCATTACGCTTCCTGTAATCAAAGAGTTGAAAATATGTTTCTATTGCAGAATATCTAGATTATAGGCAATGCTCTGGAAGTTTCATAAGGCCGCGAATCCAGGGCGGATTCATGTTGAAGTTTGAGGTACAGTAGCGCTCAAAAGTATTCGGCCGAGCAGTTTTTCGGCCGTAACTTTTATTTCAGTGGGGCAAATCACAGAACGGAATTAAATCTCGCCACCGGCTGCCGTTTGAATTATTTTCCCA